ATCTCACATTCCTTCAAAATGTAGGAAGGGACTACTTGTTTCTTTGCAGCACTAAAGTTCAAAGTCTTCTTAAGCAACTGTAAAATGTATCAGTGTAAATCCAATTTACCCTGGTATGGAGTTGTGGCAGAACATTTGTCAAGTGAGTCAAAGTGTCCTTTTTCCCCAGTTTTCAAACCTGGGAGCAACTCTACCTGGGTGCTTTTGGTGGCCTTCCAGTTGGTGGGATTTGGATGACTATAATAGTGCAGACAATCTTCCAGTATGTGTATACGATCAAGAAATTTCCTAAATAGGTACATCAAGTGGTGGTAACTCTTAGTAGCCTCAAATAACACAAACAAACAGAAGTCTGGGGCTCCAATGGCGCAAGGGCGTCGTGCCTGTTCCTCATGGGTTACACTTTCCTGCACCATAAGCCCACATCCGTTCTTCGCATTCTCAGGCTTAAAGCTCTTTTCTTTAAGCAAAAGCTGTGGACCGACTTCTTCAGACATTCGCTCACACCGTGAGGAAGAAAACACCCAAGAAGAAACCTAACTCCCCTGCGCAGGAGACCACGTGGCCACAAGCCCACCGGCGAGCTAGGCCGGGCGCGCCCGGGGCACGCTGGGATTAGGGAAGGGGGTGGGTGTCCGAGGCGTGACCCGACCCGGAAGAACTGGCGCGTAGTAACCCCAGCTTGCTTAGCAACCAAGCGGCCGCCGGTAGTCACCAGAACCGCCGACCTCTGGAGCCGCTGTCGGGATGCCCCTCCAGATCAGCGATTACAGCTGGCAGCAGACGAAGACTGCGGTCTTTGTCTCTCTGCCCCTCCGAGGTGTCTGCGTCAGAGACGCGGACGTATTCTGCACAGAAAACTATCTGAAGGTAGGAACGCGAGTCGTGCCTACCGGTCCCCCGGGAGTGTGGTCTGAAGCTTTTGCGAGAGCGCCGCTTGGCCTCCGCTTGGGCACGAGCGACAGGCGCGTCCTTGCAGATGACGTCCTAATTTTAAAAAGTGAATCCCGTACAGGTGACGTCTCATCTGTAGACAGATATCATCGAGTCAGAGATTACTTTTATCCAGGGCTTCCTCGTATGCCTTGCTAATCTTTAGCTACCTGGAATAAATTTAGTGGTACTTTAAGAAAATTATTTTGGCCTTCATCACGTATTTCTTAATGGCAGTATCTTTAATTTGTGTAACTAACAACTTCCGTTTTCTCCCTTCTGAATAGGTCAACTTTCCTCCATTTTTATTTGAGGTATTTCTCTATGCTCCCATAGACGATGCGAGCAGCAAAGCGAAGATTGGGAACGACACTATCGTCTTCACCCTGTATAAAAAAGAAGCGACAATGTGGGAGACCCTATCTGTGTCAGGGGGTAAGTTCTTTATTAAAAGATGTTCATCTGGTTGTGTTTTTTCCGTTTTATACCTTTTTTTTTTTTTCTTTTAATTTGAAACATCTGTATTGTGTAAAGGGAAGAAAGACGTTCTCTTTACTTTCCTAGATTCGGTAGCTGGGTCTATGAAATAAACTAATAACAGTCAGATTAACAGGAGAGAAGGTATACAAGTTTATTATTTTTTTTAAAATATTATTTGCTTGGGAGCATCACAAGAAAAAAAAAAAGTGAATACCCATGGTGAGATTTGAGAGCTTATAGGGGAGGAGGGGATGTGTAGGCCATTTAGGACAGTAAATGATTTTTAGCAAAGATGAATGGGTCCTTAGAAGAATAGATGGGAAATATTACAATTTGTAACCAAGTTGTCCAGGTATCCAAGTCAACTTTTAGTGTCCTGTCCTGTGATAAGAGTCAGTATTCTCTGGTTGATGAAACTCCACAGGGGGATTTGTGGCAATTGAATTCCTTTTGGAGAATCTGTTTTTAGGCAGATAAAAATTCAAAGAAAGCCTCTCTCTGCATTTGCTGTTTTTCAAGTCCTTTAAGCTCAAAATAATCAATATACCAAAGCAGCATATTTTGGGGTGGTATGTCCTGAACTCCTTCAATTGCTCTCGTAGGAAAAAAAAAAATAGGCATATCAACCTGTTTTAAATGATATAGTGGTGCAGCTGCTGCTAAAATAAGCTTCAAGATTGAATTACTCAAAGTTAAAGCACATTAAGCAGAAAATGTGTGCAGTATGTTAAGAGTTAAGCCCTCCCCTTTATTTCTTTTTTGAGAACTTACTTTGTATTAGGCATTAAAATATCTGTTAATCTTCTAAACAACTTATCACTTAGGTATTATTACCCTTTTTTACAGGTGAGGTATTGATGCACAGAAGGGTTGAGTAACTGGTAAAGGTCATAGCTAGTAACTGGCTGACTGGAATTGGGGCTTTAGCAGTTTCACTCTAAAGCAGTGGTTCTCAACTCTACCTACATATTTGAATTACCTATGGAATTTAAAAATAATACAGATGCCCGAAACTCACCTTAGACCAATCAAATCAGTTTCTGGGAATGGGACCCAGCTGTTGGTAGTTTTAAAAAGGCTTTCCAGGGATTATAATGTGCAGCCAAAATTGAGATCACAGCTAGTTCTCTATACTCTTAATCAGTACTCTGTTCTGCTGCCAAGATCAGCTTTGTGGGTGTACAAGGAGGGAGTTAAGGTATAATATCCTATGAATTGAGCAGGAACTTTGAAACCAAAAAACTGAAGCAGGCGATTTTATACAGTTTACAAAGAGTTTTATTAAAGGGTAACTTACATAAGGGGAGGTCGCACATGGTGAAGAATCAGATGTCTACAGCAGATGAGGGCTCTAGCTTTCTAGCTTCAGACAAAGCTTATGTAGCAAAAGCAGTGTTACCAAAAATAATGTCAAAGAAACAGCGTAAGAAAAATAAGTTGATAACATCACTTACCAGTTGTCCTATGATCTATGAAGCAGAGGTCTTGTGTGATGCTATGGTGCAGATTTCCTGACCCCACTTGCTGCATAAGTCGTCTACTCTCTTAAAACTATGCTCCTGTTTACACCTGCCCAAAGGTTACTACATAACTAGCCAGTGAAACAAAGGAGAGAGTTCAAGCGGGCATCAGCATGGCAGGTGGGATCAAAGATGGAGTCAGTCCTGTTCACTGTCCAACACTGTCCAACAGTGGGTCAATAATTGTCCTCTACTGCTTTAGCTCCATTCTCCTTCCTCTTCTAGTTGTCATGTTTTCTAGTACTTTGTATCTACTGCCTGGAATTTCTCTTAGACCTCTGGCATTAAGACTTGAGTGTGGACTATTGAGAATGGAAGGGATTGAAATCATTTTTTATATTAAGGCTTTCTTGGTATTTTGCAGAGGAATTTAAATTTTTGATCCCCAGGACCAGCACTGAGGAAGAATTTTTTTTTTGTAAGATCTGGTATTTAGCTCAGAGAATACTGGTTAAGGTAGGTTACCATAGCCAGGTTACTTTATTTCTTTAGCGAGTCCCAGACTATCTAAGGAGGGAGTTTTTTTGGTTTTTAATTAATTAATTAATTATTTTTTATTCTTATTATTTATCATTACACAATGTAATCATTTTTTGTGGCCCGAAGGAGTTTTTAACAACCGGATTCTTGGTCTTCCACCCCTGCCTTCCTTTGTGACTCAGTAAGTCTGTGATAGCGCCTGGGAATGTCATGGAAACACACCTAGAGTGTTCTGACTTCTTACCTAAGATGAATTGTGAACACTTTTATTTATTTCAACTCTTGTGGATAATCTCAATTTTGAAGTTGATCAGGATCAGAACCATTACCTACTATTATAATGATTTATTTTAAAATAGACAGGAAGGAGGGGGGGTGCAGGGGAACTCCCCAGGTGATTCTGATGACTGATTAGATTTGAAACCACTGACTTAGATGTTTGTGTGCACGTCTCTCTTCCCTGGTGGGCAACAGATTTTCCCAGGAAGTGTTTTGTCCACCGTCTTTTTAGGATATAGAGAAGAATTGTATCTGAAAACCTGTTGCTTTTCCCACAACATATTTTCTGAAATGGAGTACTTTCTTTTATGTCAGATTTCCTTCTTAACCTGGTGAATACCTTATCCAGAAGTGGGAAGGGGATTTTCTTTCCTAATCGTGATCTTTCTGTTTTACACATCTGCTTTCACTGAAAATCTACTTGATTCTCCTCTTCCACAGTCAACCATTCCAAATTTTGACCATTTGAACCAAAGATTGGAAAACTGTTTGTGTAAAGGACCATATTGTATTTTAGACTTTGCAAGCCATATGGTCTCTATCACATTTACTTAGCTCTGCGATTGTAGCACAAAAGCAGCCATAAATGATATGTATTTTAGGGACACTGAAATTTGAATTTCATCTAATTTTTATGTTACAAAACAGTCTTTTGATTTTTTAAAAAATGTAAAATTTAAAAAAAATTTATAAATTTTAAAATTTGCAAATTTTTAAAATGTAAAAANATAATTTTCCTTCTAATAATTTGTGTACAACGTGAGAGCAAGAGTCATTGCGTTCTGGCACTTAGCTGCAGGCTATGTGGTTTGGGTTATAGAAGAGAACACGTTTTTAAAGTCAAAGTCTTAACAAAATGGAGTCACTTCTGTTCAGGCTGTTACACCAGTATTCAAAGTTACTGGAAGCTTGAGATGGTGAACTGCTAAAATTGGTTAAGGTAGTGAGGGTTGTCGTGTTTGGGGGAAAAGATGATTTTCCCCCCAAGTTTGCTGCTCCTAAACTTTCCTCAAGTAATTTCTCAAGGGCTTTGAAATTTGTGTTAATGGCCCCCCAAAGTAAACAGTTTAAAATCCAAATCTTTAGGTGGTAAGTAACGTGCAGGTGCTTAATTATCGTATAAATTCACCATGTTAGCATCATATCCCAGTAACTTACAAAACAGGTCTACAGAAAGCAGCCTGGGGAAAGAACATTGCAACAGGAGGGAAGAGATCAGGATTTCAGTCATGGTTCTGCTAGTAACCTATGTGACAATGGGTTTAAGTATATGTATCTCACATTCCTTCAAAATGTAGGAAGGGACTACTTGTTTCTTTGCAGCACTAAAGTTCAGAGTCTTCTTAAGCAACTGTAAAATGTATCAGTGTAAATCCAATTTACCCTGCTATCGAGTTGTGGCAGAGCATTTGTCAAGCGAGTCAAAGTGTCCTTTTTCCCCAGTTTTCAAACCTGGGAGCAACTCTACCTGGGTGCTTTTGGTGGCCTTCCAGTTGGTGGGATTTGGACGACTATAATAGTGCAGACAATCTTCCAGTATGTGTATACGATCAAGAAATTTCCTAAATAGGTACATCAAGTGGTGGTAACTCTTAATAGCCTCAAATAACACAAACAGAAGTCTGGGGCTCCAATGGCGCAAGGGAGTCGCACCTGTTCCTCATGGGTTACACTTTCCTGCACCATAAGCCCACATCCGTTCTTTGCATTCTCAGGCTTAAAGCTCTTTTCTTTAAGCAAAAGCTGTGGACCGACTTCTTCAGACATTCGCTCACACCGTGAGGAAGAAAACACCCAAGAAGAAACCTAACTCCCCTGCGCAGGAGACCACGTGGCCACAAGCCCACCGGCGAGCTAGGCCGGGCGCGCCCGGGGCACGCTGGGATTAGGGAAGGGGTGGGTGTCCGAGGCGTGACCCGACCCGGAAGAACTGGCGCGTAGTAACCCCAGCTTGCTTAGCAACCAAGCGGCCGCCGGTAGTCACCAGAACCGCCGACCTCTGGAGCCGCTGTCGGGATGCCCCTCCAGATCAGCGATTACAGCTGGCAGCAGACGAAGACTGCGGTCTTTGTCTCTCTGCCCCTCCGAGGTGTCTGCGTCAGAGACGCGGACGTATTCTGCACAGAAAACTATCTGAAGGTAGGAACGCGAGTCGTGCCTACCGGTCCCCCGGGAGTGTGGTCTGAAGCTTTTGCGAGAGCGCCGCTTGGCCTCCGCTTGGGCACGAGCGACAGGCGCGTCCTTGCAGATGACGTCCTAATTTTAAAAAGTGAATCCCGTACAGGTGACGTCTCATCTGTAGACAGATATCATCGAGTCAGAGATTACTTTTATCCAGGGCTTCCTCGTATGCCTTGCTAATCTTTAGCTCTATTTATCCATGGGTTAGACTAGAACTTTTTGTTTTTTAAATCTAATAAGAAGTACAGTTTAAGACTTTAAGCTTGAATTAATTTCAAGGTTTATGAAACACTGTTTAGATAAATACATAAGTCATGAAAGAATGTCTAAAAAATTAATGATGTTTTAAATTGGTATCAGCTGATTTAATGATTCAGTAATAAAACTTGTCAAGTTCTTGTTAAGGTATCATTTAAAGAGTATAGAAGTTTAGTAAGATTATGGTAGTCAGAAGAACAATTTCACTGCAGGTATGTATGTGCTTAGCAAAGTGAT